GTAGGAGGGGATAAGTCTTGTTACGGGATACACCACGTTCCCGAGGACCGTAGGGGGGATAAGGCTTGTTACAGGATACTTCACGTTCCCGAGGACTGTAGGGGGGATAAGGCTTGTTACGGGATACTTCATGTTCCCGAGGACTGTAGGGGGGATACGGCTTGTTACTGGATACTTCACGTTCCCTAGGACTGTAGGGGGGGGATAAGGCTTGTAACGGGATACTTCACGATCCCGAGGACTGTAGGGGGGATTCGGCTTGTTACTGGATACTTTACGTTTCCTAGGGCTGTAGGGGGGATACGGCTTTTTACTGGATACTTCACGTTTCCTAGGGCTGTAGGGGGGGGATAAGGCTTGTTCCGGGATACTTCACGTTCCCGAGGACGGTGGGGGGGATATGGCTTATTACGGGATAATTCAAGTTCCCGAGGACCGTAGGGGGAGGATAAGGCTAAGACCCTCGATTGAAATCTACAAAAAGACTATATTGCATTATGGCCCATCTAAAAAATCAATACAGTTGTAAGTTTTCTTCAATTTGATTGTAAATAAATATAAAAAGTATTGCTCATGAAGTAAGAAGTAAAAAAATTTAAGTACATCAGATGTAAATTGAGCAGAAATCATTATTTGAAATTAGGAGAGAAAGAAAGCTTTGCTAATGAATGTTGGGAGAAGGATTAAAATTCATTCAATAATTTCGGCTATTAAATCTTGTTGGTATTTGCTGCATATATTTTCACCGATATTGATGCTTTCATTGGAAGCTTGCGGAAGATAATGAATCCCACAGCATCAATGATTTATCAGGTGAATAACACCAAATTTGGTGTGTCAGCATCTCAAGCTAAATCTCTCCTCGCACAAGTAAATTAACGATAAGGGTGTCCGTCTTAAACCTCAGCTGATTCCGCGAGGTGAAGACTTTTTCGGGAGAATTTTTACACGGAACAGCTCAACTTGTGTTTCAGCATCAACAGTAGGGTAAGCAGGATGTGGTGTGTCAATTGATAGTATTAGGGACAAATGTACACTTAGTATCCCTTGTAGGGGCCACAGGTCATGTTGTGTATCATTGTAGGGACTCCGGTACATTCAGTAAACATAGTTAGGGCCACAGGTCATGTTGTGTATCATTGTAGGGACTCCGGTACATTCAGTATACATAGTTAGGGCCGCAGGTCATGTTGTGTATCATTGTAGGGACTCCTGTACATTCAGTATGCATAGTTAGGGTCACAGGTCATGTTGTATATCATTGTAGGGACTCTGGTACATTCTATAAAACATAGTTAGTGCCACAGGTCATGTTGTGCATCATAGAAAGGACTGAGTTTATTAGGATCCATGGTAGGGGCCACATGTCATGTTGTGTATAATTCAGTACCCATGGTAGGGGCCACAAATCATGTCATGTATAATTCAGTATATCCATGGTAGGGGCCACAAATCATGCCATGTATAATTCAGTATATCCATGGCAGGGGCCACAAATCATGTCATGTATCATTCAGTATATCCATGGTAGGGGCCACAATCCATGGTAGGGGTCACAAATCATGTCCTGTATAATGCAGTATCCATGGTAGGGGGCCCCAAATCATGTCATGTATAATTCAGTATATCCATGGTAGGGGTCAGGGGATAGCAAGTTGCAATGTCCACAGTCAGAATATATTTGGTAAAGTTACTGGTTAAAGCTATTTGTAACTTTGAATAAAAAGATGTCTTTTAAGACAAAATCTCTGGTAATCTTCCAGAGAGAAAAAATTCCATTCCTAAATGAATTCAATCGCTTGTTTATATTGACAATATTTCTTGTTAAGGCCACCATCAGTCACTGATTGAAGGACCTGTCATATTAATTTGTGTGGAAGAACTTTTAGAGATTTAACAGAATGATTCATAAATGAGACCAATGATATTCATGGAGTTTGGAACTTTCTCCTCATATAGAAATCTAAGGGCTGCAGGGGGTGAGTTCTCGTGAGTTGATTTGAGGAAATATGTATGTCGGCCATCTGTATTTTGATTAATCTGCGGCACCAAGCCAGCCAGATACGGGAACAGTGTTGGAACGGACACGCATCCAATAGAACTCTCCCAGGAATTATATTCATCTCAAAATTTTGGCTAAAGGTTCGGCTGCCCTGACCTTAAATACCCCTATCAATCTCTTCTTTCTAATTAACTTGATTCACAGTACCGTCAGATTATCCTTAAGTCCTGATATTGGTAACGGCCTCACTTTAGCTCTTGGGACACTTAAAAAGGCCTTGTTTGCTTCGAGGCACCTTATAATTTATGTCTGTGGGTGGAACGTCGTGTTTGGATTCATCAGATGATATTTCGGCCAGATTTTACTATTATGCCGAAAGTCCTACAAACCAAGTACAAAGGCTGGTTCAGGGTTTTTATTAAAAAGAAGTTTGAATTTTAAACCTTTCAAGTTCATTTAGTTTCAAAACTTTTACACTGCAGAAATTTTAGATTTTGTTATACAGTCAAACATTGTTGAATTTCAATGATATATACAAGGAGACTCAATTTCAATATCACAGGATGGAGACGTTTTCAGTGATAAACAAGGGGAGACAATTTCGAAGTTATCATTTGAGGAAAGACAATTTCATTGATAAACAAGGGAGGGGTTGGGGCGTTTTTAGTGACATTTAGAGACTTTTTAATGTTGATGATGATGTAATAATTGTCAGATAGTTGTAGTCGTTTGTTACTGTTTTGTGTTATGAACAACATCTACACAGTCTGCTTATCCATATTAATGCGTAATGTCTATTGCATGACAAGAACCCATCCTATTTGTGTGTACTAGATTTATGTTATTGAAAATACAGATATTATTTTCCTACGAACATCAGTCGTAAGGATTACATATTGATTTAAGAAACTATATATTTTTGCAGATGATACCATAATAGGGGTATAAGTAGCCTAGTTCATTGCGGACATTTACATATATACTGGCCCATCTGGTAGCAGTACTTACAAATTTCACGCTCGGTCTGGTTCTATTCAATACCACACAGTTTATCTGTCTGAGCATAAATAAGGTAAATACCGCAAAAAATACTCTTTTTAAAAAGGACAATTTCCTTTATTGTAAAATGGGATGTATTCGTCCGAGTTCTATTTTTGCCCCATTTGCCATTGACTGAAATGGAAAAAATTGTGCCCATTTATTGTTTTCTGTGGATTCTGTCTTATTAACTTCACAATGACAAACAGGTTTAACTTATTCACCCCTGAAGACATATTTGAACTCTCCCAATTCAAAGGTTGGAATAGTTCATTATGAAGTTTCAGGGGTGAATGAATAAACAAAGTTACACAGAAGTATACAGCGACCAGTTCAATATCTGGTTTATACAGGTTATCAAATCATACAGGGGTCGGTATAGACAGGTTTCCGTAAATCACCTATTTTTTAAGAAAGATTTTATTTCACAATTAATTTTATTATGATGCATTTTTGGAGATCTGCGATTTTCACAAAAATAATGATGCCAGACTTATTTCTCTTGTTTAAAACTTGAACGGTGCTTGACTAAATATTTGTGAGGTATTTAAATTCATGACTGTCCCTCCTTGCAAATTAACTTGACAATATGTAAACGATAGATGGTAAATTACAGGATACTAGATTCCTCTCTGCATTGGAAAGGTGTCTTTTTATTTAGATACTAGACTTTTCAGCAGAATTTTGTGTATCTTGTATGTATAAATATATTTATCTGTTTTTCACAGCTGTATAAATAGGTAGTCACATATACAGGAAGGATGAGGGGTAAACCAACACAACAATGTCATTATTTTGTAATATTTAAAAAAAAAAACACTTCATTTTCTAACTGAAGACCTGCCTTAATTCTTACTTGACAATTTGGTTGAAATTTTAACACAGAAAGAATTTTTGGAAGATAAAAGGTTTTACCGAGTAAGGAGATTCTCTTAAAGTGTTTCAATTGTATACAGAGATCCATTTACTGAGTTTTGTTCCAATAATAACACAAGTGTTTGTATTAGGATGCAATCTTAAAAGAGATTTAAATTTTACAAGATGTTGGGGGGGGGGGGATTTAAAGAATATTTCTCTTAAGTATGTCACTTGTTGGTGAGTCAGCATTGATTGAGTGGGCGGGTTTGTTGAATATTTAGATTCCGCATTTTATTGTTGAGATCAATGCGAACACGTGTCAACATTGGTCATTGTGTGGACATATAAAGACATATGTAGGCTACCTAAGCCCACCGGTGGGCATGCCATTGTAAGTCTATAGATATCACTCCCACTTCCTCTGGTCATTTAACACCGACCTATGTAAACAGTGTAATTATATCAATGCTACTATTTATAGGGGCTCTATTGAGAACATCGATTCTCAATAATGTCCACAGACACTTTATTTATGTGTTGAAAATACCTGTGGAGATAACGTATTTTAAACAATGTCTGTTTAATCAGTAGCTGGATCGTAAATATTGAAGAAAAAATAAATAAGAAAAAACATCTCTAGCACAAATTGCAGTCCACATATTTCAAAGCTTCAGAAGAAATTGCAACAAAGTCCATCAAATACCAAATATGATTTCTGGTAGGGTCCTCAGCATGAAGAATGGCAATATGGTGTTTAGGACCGAATACCAATCCTCAAAGAGTCCCTAATATCAAATGGTCCTCAAAATAAAATAAAAACAGCTATATGATCTTCGTACCACAAGAGATTGCAATATACTCTAAGTACCACGATACACTACCATATGGTCTCTGTACCAGAGGAGAATCTAATGGTCTTAGTACCAAAACAGATTGCCAGAAGGTTGCAGAACAAAAATTGATCACCACATTGTCCCCGGCACCAAAAGATTTGTAATCTTTAGCACAGAACGGTGTAATTCTAGGTCTTGGTACATACTGCCAAAACATAAGTATAAGTCAACAACATGTCTGATTCCTTTGAAATCTTCCTGTCTTACAGATGAAGGCTCTTTGCAATTTCCAAGTCACTGTGTCAACCAAATTGGCCAACACTACATCGTCGCACCACAAGGAGCGTGGACACCACCATCAGGCACCACTCAACAGACGCTCCATCGGCGGTGACCTCTACGACCAGGTGCTAGAGGTTATGAAGGAGCTGTTGACGTCCCTGCGGATGTTTGACACAATGTCGGATGTAATCTGTGACCAGGAGCTTTACTATAACCAGAACATGGAAAGTGACCAGTGCTGGAACGGCACAACTATCGGCAGGTAAGTCACAGTCATATACCTATACTAACATGTTTTGAAAGTCAAGGACAACAAGACACACAGGTTATATTCAATGTCAAGGTACTACTAATATCTAACTATTTCAAAGTCTAAAATATATGTTGCTGCCTTGAAGGTCAAAGTTTGAGGTCGTTTGTCAATCATCGTTTCAAGATATGATGAACATCCAAGATATCGGGACTTTTTGTAAAGGTCAAGGTCGGCATAGTGAATGGTTGAAGTAGAAGTTTTATTGGGCCATCAGAGGCTTTGAGGTAGTTTTATTGGGCCATCAGAGGCATTGAGGTAGTTTTATTGGGCCATCAGAGGCATTGAGGTACTAGAATCTAGACTTATTTTATGAAGATGTAGAAAATGCTTAAGGTCATTCTGTAATTGATTATAGAAGGTACTGAAGGTCATTGTGTGGCTATTTATAGCAATAGGATAAACTGAAAGTTAACTCATTGACTTTAAATAGATTTAGGGAAAAATGAAGGTTATTCAAAGTTATCAATAGCCATAGCAAGTGCTGAAGGTAACGGTGTGGCTATTCATAACTATAGCAAAACAATCAAGGTCATTCTGTGGCTATTTATAGCAACAAAACCACTGAAAATTAACTCATTGACTATAAATAGACAAAGGAAACACTTAAAGTCATTCAATGCCTATTAATAGGTAAAGAAAATGCTGAAGGTGACTGTGTTGCTATTCATAACTAAAGCAAAACAGTGAAGGTCATTCTGTAACTATAAATAATCATAGGAAACAGGTTGCCACGGAGAATTGTGTAATACATGGGGACATGTATTGTTATAGACACGGGACATGTATCAGTGCAGACAAGTAACACTTTGTAAACGGAACCAGAAATTCATGCAACGCCTTCAGTGGCATTTATGTATGGTCTAACGCCACTGGGGAACATTTCCCACCTAACAGAACATGACTGGACTTGATTCATACCAGAAACTGTCAAAGCCTGGCTGCACCCCTGTCTGGCTCTGCTTACGTTAGGATGACACAGGTTGGTAGCAGCTTAGTGGAGATACCACGCATCCCTAGATACACACCAAGGATGCGCGGAGTACTCAACATCTACACGTTATCATTAAGGATGCACTTTATCTTCTATCAGTGCACAAACCTGATCCCGAGTAAAATCAGTACAAGTTACGACTACCTTTGGGTCTAAAGCGATCATCATCTCTTTGGTAGGGCTGGTTTTATCACTGCTTAGTGAGTGGAGTTTTGATTTTTTATCAAAAGGAAAAAACCAGTTGCAATTTTGATTCAAACCCGACTATCTGTTGTATATATATAGAATTATCATATTTTACCTGGAATATATTGTGGAATTTTACTGGCTGTCGGTGCTCGATGCTAATAACCTTATGTAAGAAAAAAGAAACATTCATATTGTTGGAAAAGTAACAAAATTTTGTCATACTGCCTTGAAATATCTACTGATCTTTTAAAATCATAGATCCATCTTGTCATGAAAATCACAATTATTTCAATATTTTTTTTGTGAGTTTAGAGTAATGGACAGGTTAAACTAAAACTAAGCAGTGGTGCTATTGTATGTTAACCAGAGCCTGTCCATGATGATTCATCAATCCAAATGGGTTCAGACGGGTTTGTAACTAATGGAAATGATCGAAATTAATTTCCGTGTACACATACTTGTATACTGTGGTCTCACCTCACCCACGACAGTGTTTAGGACAGCTCTGCATATCCTTAGGTCTCGCTTCATCTGTTTTGTTCTGTGTTGATACAGTTCTGCATGGCCGATGTACTTCAAACACTTCAGCGAAAAACCATTGCAGCAAAAAAATCATTGATTTTGTCATCTTGGATGCAAAAAAACCAAATTGTCATATATATCACATGGCAAACAGGTTAGTTTCCGATTGTGGAGACGTTGGCAGCATGTAACAAATGAGTGTTAAAGTCTCGAATTGGTGTTAGAAATAAACTTAATCAAAAGGGTAAAATATTACAGATATGTAGCTTGTCTTATTAACCTGTCTCAAATCCCATCATGAGGTTGAATTCTCAGTTAAACTTGCAGTTTTCACATGGTGTAATTTCCTTATTGTATTCCTTATATTGACACAGTTAAAGCTATATGTGCCTTTAATGTGACATGGTGAGTTAAGGATGTATGGTACCATACTATAACATTACACTTCATTTCCTAAAGAGTTCCACTTTATGAAACTTATATAAATATATTTGACTAATTTCTACGAATTTGGACTTCCTTTACTCATTGAGGTGATTCTGAAAGTAAATGTTAGGAATTGAAAAAAATGAAATATTAAGAACACAATAATGCTATTTTTGTATTATCTTAAGAGAGATAACTCTTAACACAAATTACAGGTGTAACAAAGTAACTTACATCTTTAAGTTTACAAATATTGACGTATTGAAAAATACCTCCAATTAATATTTTAGTTTAGTTTCTGTAAGATGTCATCAAACTTCAGAAAATTTGTCCGTCAGTAGGTCACATGAACTCTGACCAATGATGTGCTTTGTTACAGCTGTATGGAAATTAATTAGCATAGACGTATGTGCTATATAAAATCTCCTCAGGAATCTGACAGATCTGGAACTATATGGGGTATCAAAATATACTTACGCATCAAGTGTGGGATTTGATGAAGATAAATAAGGGAGAATGCCGTCAGAAGATAAACCGGGAGTGAAGTAGTATGCTGGTCATTTTGACACCAGGTCAGAAGGTACAAAAGTATCAAGTAATTTTCAGAAGTGTAGGATCGTTATCAAGATCAGCCAATCAAAATATTGACGTTCAGATTATGCAAGGAGAACATTTTGACATATCTACCTGTGAAAGCACCTAGCTGGCTATAGAACAATTAACCAATTGGATCATTGCTGACGATGAACTTTTGATCAAAGTTCGGGGTTCTTGTGACTAGAAATCTGCCATTATCTATCAATGAAATAGTGCTAACCCCATTGAATATGGTACTGTCCCATTCTTTTACAATACTCAACAAGACTATATATAGACATATACAGCTGGATTTGATTGGAATGGCTTTCAAAATTCCATTATGTTTGAAAAATAAACATTTTCACTAGGCAGCATTGGTTACTATAGATCTTGAAAACAATTAAGTTGAATTTTGTCATTTTCAGAAAATATTGAATTTATTGTATACAGAATAAAGGAATTTGCAGCTGCTGGATAATGACAATACCAAACAGTTTTAAACTCTGGCGAAGTTTATGCCGACATAAATCTGCTTCATGACGTGATCTATCATGCACAGGATGTTTGTAAAAAGATGATATATTATTCTTGTATGCAACAAACAGCTGTTTGATCTATCCTGCAGCTTCCCATCCAGGACATTGGAATTGTATGAGAATAACTAGTTTAACTTGATTGAAACAATTTACAAATTTTAAATGCTATTGTGAATCATAACAGTATTATGCAAAATTCATTGTGTCATAATTCATATAAATACACTTCTATGCTTTATATTCCTGAACTTTTACTGTTGTGAACTGAATTCTGAATATATGTTTACGTTTTCTTTTTATAAATCCTTCATAATAATATGTTGGATAAGTTAGTGGCTAAGGATATTTGTGTGGTGTTCGAATGTCAGAAATATTTCTATTACAGGTATAGTTGTGGTGTTGATAGACAGCTGGGTGTGTGTAGTACACTTGTATATGAGAAATGTATATCAGGATGTCTTCTATAAGTTAGTTGGCATTCTCAGTGACTTTTAGTAGCTTGTGTTAGGTAGGGAATTTTATGGATCCAATAACATAATGCATAATTATTACTCATGTAACTCAGACAGTTGCTTCAAATGTCAAAGGTTGATGAAGGTCGCAGGTCAATTGTGAAAGGTCAAAATGGTTTCTCGTCTCATAAAAATCTGTTGAGAATTTGTTGTAAAAAATTCTGGTGGGGTAAGCATAAAATAATAGATGTTTAAAACAGCTTCATGTTGATGATATAGATTTTAAACAATTTTATTCAGATTTTGTAGAATAGCATTGTGAATATATAGGTTTACGATATTTTAATGTCCAACACTGTGTATAAAAATCGTATTCATATATGATATATGTGTTGGTATATTTTAGAACTCGTGAACGTTTTATGATTGTGTTTGTAAAAGAGTTGGTGGAGGGTATAGATGATGTTTTACCATAACAAGTGGATTCCTTGTCAGACCAGGACGGGATTAGAAATGAAACGTCACCAGTAGAATATATCATTTTCGTAGAAACAAATTTTTCGTTGTCCCAAGCTTTATAGGTGCTCACAGGTCACTTTGGTATTAGACATCACCTTCCGTTAATGAAGTTGATAGGACTGATCTTTGCTTATATGAAGTAAGATCTACATGCAAGTCAGACTCAGGGGGGTAGGGTGAAAGGTTTTTTAGGCTACTGCAAACATTCAACATAATTCATCTTACCTTAAACCTGTCACTTTTTGTTTCAAAATTTTGTATAAAAAATGTTGATGTAATATTTTTTGAATAATTCATAACTTTAACTTAAAACCTTCTACCCCCATAAGGTCTATGTGGGGCAGTTGCCAGGTACTGGCTGTAGGTCGGTGGTTTCTCTCCGGGTAATCCGGCTTTCCTTCACCACTGAAACCTGGCAGGTCTTTAAATGATAAGCTATTAAAAGGGCGTAAAACACAAACAAACTAAACCTAACAAAATAAAACCCATAACTTATAACCTTACTCACCCACTAACCTCAGTAGTGACACTAACCTAAACTGTGCCACCATCCTTTCCTCCAGGTCACTGTTAAGATGTAAACAGTGTTTGTTATCAATACAGCTGGTATGCATACTTCTCTTGAAGATATTATATAGAAATGGAAGTTTTCAGTGAAAATGTTGTTGGTTTTAAAAGGAGATGCTAAGACAAAAAAACTTTCATATGGGATATTGTTGAGAATGACGTAGAAAA